GGGTTTAGGGTTTAGGGTGGGGAGTTCATGCAGATGTGGGTAGTTCTTTAGATTCGGCCTTTCTCGGTCCTTTCTATATGGGCGCCATACTATTTTTGCAACATTCAAATTTAGGACATTTTCAGGTGGGTAGTTTCCGTTATAGGAGCCTTATAGAAGGTCTATATACTTTATGGAAGCCTTATAGAAGCCCTATGTACCCTAAACTCCCCACCTGTAGTTTCCTTTAACTATATGGGCGCCATACTATTTTTGCAACATTCAAAGGGATCTAAACCCTAAACCCTAAACCCTAAACCCTAAACCCTAAACCCTAAACCCTAAAGAACTGCCCATGCGTTGTTCGGCGGGAGTGCAGGGGACCTGACCTGTCTCCAGTCAGCCTCACGAGCAACGATCCGGTCACGGTTTCGGGTTAGGGTCGCTATAGGGGCCTTCATAAAATTAGGGTTTGGGGGGGGGGGGTCCTTTATAGTAGACTTATAGTAAGGACCTCCCCCCCCCAAATGAGATAGGAAAATATTTAGGCCTCTACATTACCTGATGTTTCTGGCAAGCTTTTGAACTGGAGGCGTGCTGGCGATGAGACAGTTGAAAGTCTTCTTCAACTGCATGTCACAAATTTATGAAAGGCAGCGGTTGCTGCAGAAAGCCCGCCAGTTCAGGCACCGAAGCGAGGAGCAATTGGTCGAGCGGCAAAGCCGCATGTGGTTGGAGTTCTCACGCAAGATCTGGCGGATTCCCGAATCTCCTCCACTGTGGTGTGGGCTTGCTTCGTTGGTTCGCTCGCTCGTTCGTTGCTTTGTTCGCTGCTTCGTCTGTTGGTTCGTTGGAGGCCATAAACCCTATAGAACAGTTCCTTGCAAGACACCTATAATTTGAAGGAGAGTTTTTCTAATTCTTAAGACCCGTATACTTTAGCCCCAACTTGAAGGGATTGAGCCATGACGCCATGCGGATGAGCAGACCCCCTCCTTGCACCTTCAAAGCATCCCGAGCTAAAAGACCCAAGCCCTACTGTAAAAGTCCAAGTTATGTACCCTAAACGGTCCAAAGGACCTAGTAATGAGGTGTCTGGTTTAGGATACTAGGTTTGTAGGTTAGCATTTGAAAGTTGACCATAAACCGCTAGTCTACAAAACTACTTTTCTGAAAGCCTTGCTATATCACATCCTATAGAAACTGTAAACCCCCAAAGATCGGCCCCAGTGAAATCCTTTCCAAACCTTGGGAATCCCTAAACCCTAAACCCTCAACCCTCAACCCTCAACCCTAAACCCTAAACCCTTTCCAAACCTTGGGATCCTTGAAAACGCCCTAGTGAAGCAGTAAAAAAACAGCCAGCGACTTCAGGCACGTGCACGTGGAGGTTCCACCAGAGCAGAGCAAGGAGGAGCCTGTTTGGGAGCGTAGGCGTAGACAGGGGGTTTGGGGTTAAGGACGGTTAAGGGTTTAGGTTTTGGGAATTAGGGTTCATATAAGGTGTGAGGATTAGGGTTTAGTGCTTGGGTTGGGTTTGCGAAGAAGGGAATTGAGAACCATATGGAACTGATGGTTCGCCATAAGTTCATCAAAGACCTGCTGAAACATGCAGAAGGATGCCGAGGATGCCGATGAAACCAACAACGGTGAGAATGAGAAACAAAAACGATGAACATCTATTTGGGACTTTCCGAAACCTTATTTTGGGGTCCTTATAATAAGGATCCTATTATTTGGGGTACTATATTAGGGTCCCCTATCTTCGGAAACCCCCATTTCTGTTACAAGGGGATGATGGAAACTCAACGGCTTATGTGGCGAAGCTTCAGACGGGTACCCTCGCCAAGGTGTGCGACGGAGGCCTCAACCTCTTGTCCAGAACCATCAAGGGAGGGATGAAGAAGACGCTGAACTTCTACATTGAAGACCGCATGATTACCAGTCACGGCGAGACAGAAGCCAGTAGGAAGTGGCAAACCAAAGACAACAAGGGGAACACCACGGATAACCGCATCTATGATGGCGTGCCCATCGCCAGAAATTGATATAGCAGCCAGAGAGGAGCTACGGTACAGGACGCGCGAGCAAAGAACAACGTTCGTTCGACCATATAGTACGCGACTAAGTGCTCCGTCCCTCTCGTGCCGCAGATGGACGCCAGACGGGCAACCATCGAAGAGGCCCTCAATATGGGGGTTTCCGAAAATAGGGGACCCCAATGTTTAATATAGTACCCTAAATAGTAGGATCCTTATTATAAGGACCCCAAAATAAGGTACCCCAATTTTCGGAAACTCCCATATGCTGACTGAGCTCAAGCAAGAGAAGGACTTGCACATCAGCAGGTTGTGCAAGGCGTTGCACCGCCATCTCTGGCCGCATTTGCCAGTGAAGATTGGATGAGGGAGCCTTTCTATAAAGAGCTTGGCGCGTACGCAGCAGGCGATGAGCTGTGTAAGGGGACTTGAGGGCAACACCTTGGTATGGAGCTCCGACTCTTTTAAGTGGATCTGGGGTCGCAAGTTCGCTGCCAAGAGCAAGATCCTGAAGTGCAAGATGGATCCGCGGGTTCTGCTACTTAGTCGTTACATAGACTCGGAGGAGGACTGAAGAGGCATCATGTGCACTGCATGAAAAGAGAGGGCATCATGACCGGCATGCATAGTGAGCAGGTCAGGGCATCCGTACTGGACCCTCGTTTAGGGCGCAAAATCCCCTCAAATCCTGAAGGCTAAGCCCCTTAAACCGTACTTGGATCCTTATTGCTAATGCTAGTATGTATGACAAATACTAGATGAAGACACCAATAGTTATGATGATGTCCATGTAAAAAAACACGAATGATAATACTTTTAGTAGCACGTAACCAGTTGCAGTCTTGCTGACTTTCATAGCATGACAACAACCCCAAACCCTGAACCCTAATCCTAAACTCCTCAACCCAAAAGCCTAAACGCCCTAAACCCGTAACCATCACCTAAACTTCAACCCTAAACCCTAAACCTAAACCCCGACCTTTTCAACCCCTAACCCTAAGCCTACAGCCCTAAACCCTAAACTTCTTGAACCTAAAGCCTAAACCCTACAGCCCTACACCCTAAACTTCTTGACCCTAAAGCCTGAATCCTACAGCCCTAAACCCTAAACTTCTTGGGCCCTACGGCCCTAAACCCTAAACTGCTTGACCCCAAAGCTTAAATCCTACATTCCTAAGCCCTAAGCTTCTTGACCCTGAAGCCTAAATCCTAGAGCCCTGAACCCTAAACTTCTTGACCCGAAAGCCTAAATCCTACAGCCCTAAACCCTAAGCCTTTTGACCCTAAAGCCTAAATCCTACAGCCCTAAGCCTTAAGCTTCTTGACCCTAAAGCCTAAATCCTACAGCCCTAAACCATAAACTTCTTGGGTCCTACGGCCCTAAACCCCAAACTTCTTAACCCTAAAGCCTAAATCCTACCACTCCAAGCCGTAAGCTTCTTGACCCTGAAGCCTCAATCCTAGAGCCTTAGACCCTAAACTTCGTGACCCTAAAGCCTAAATCCTACAGCCCGAATGTAGGGGCCTTACATAATTAGAATAGGGCTTGGGGGCCCATTATACTTTAATTATAGTAAGGAGCCCCCCAATATAGTATTTGGGCCCCTACATTAAGCCAACCCCAAAGGATCCGCAGGCCCCGAGGGAGCTTCCGAGACTCCTCGACAAGGACGCCAGGGCTTTGGGGTTTAGGGGCTTTGGGGTTTTGGGGTTTTGGGGTTTAGGGTTTAGGGAATTAGGGGTTTAGGGTCTTAAGGGGTTTAGGGCTTAGGGGTCTGGGTTTAGGGCCTAGCGGCTTTAGGTTTGGGGTTTAGGGTTTAAGGTCTGTGGGGCTTGCTTGTTGATGGGTTTACCTACGACTTATTGGCGGTTTCCACGGGTTTAGGGCCTGGGTTTGGGATTTAGGGTTGGTTTGTGTCTTTTGTTTATTTTTTTTGTGTTATCATATTTGTTGTCATCTGTAGCCAGTGTCCAGTGTGTGACTTACCCTATGCCTAGACCACAAAAGTATGTAAAATAATAGCCTTTCGCAGGTCTTGGGCCACTAGTTTACCTACTTTTGGGGGTTTGGGTAAGGATGACCGGAGTCACTATGTCCCATGGCCCTGCAAGTAGGAACCAAAAACCAAAACACACTAAACCCTAAACCTTAGACCCGTAAACCCTAAACCCTGAACCCCTAAACCCCTAAGCCCCTAGACCCCTAAACCCCTTAACCCTAAACCCTAACCCCTACCCTGACCCCTAAACCCTAAACTCCCAAACCCCTAAACCCCTAATCCCCGAAGCCCCTTAACCCTAAACCCCGAAACCCCTGAACTCCTAAACCTCTAAGCCCCTAAACCCTAAACCCTAGACCCCTAAACCCCTCCCTAAACCCTTAAACCCTAAACCCCTAAAGCACCAAACCCTAAACCCTAAACCCTAAACCCTAAAGCCTAATCCCTAAACCCCTTAACCCTGAACCCCTAAATCCCTAAATCCCCTAAACCCCTAAACCCCTAAACCCCTAAACCCCTACACACTAATCCCTAAACCCAACACCCCCTAAACCCCTAAACCCTAAACCCTAAACCCCTAAACCCCTAAACCCCTAAACCCTAAACCCCTAAACCCCTAAACCCTAAACCCAACATCCGTGGTGACTTGAGGAGCCCGGCAGTCCCAGCAAGCCCTCCGAAAAGACGGTCTCCATCGATGAGGTCAAGTCACCCAAGGCCGCCGAGGCCGCCCAGTCATTGTGGTTTTGGGGTTCAATGCTGGGAGGCTTTTCTGAGGGTGTTGGCTTTCGGGTTTAGGGTTTGGGGTTTAGGGTTCAGGGTTTAGGGTTTAGGGTGTAGGGTGTAGGGTTGAGGGTTTGTGGTTTTGGGGTTTAGGGTTTGAGGGTTTAGGGTTTAGGGTTTTCATTGTGGTTTTGGGGTTCAGTATCGTGTTTAGGGCTTTTGGTTTAGGTTATTGTGTTTTTTGGGGTCATTTTAGTCTTTAGGGTTCAGGGTTTAGGTTATCGTGGTTTTAGGGTCCATTTTTGTTTAGGCTTGCGGGGGTTATTGTGGTTATACTCTAAGGGTCCAAAGGATCCAACACATCAGGCACTGGGGTTCAGTATTGTAGTTTTGTAGGTTCGCCTTTCGGAGGATTTCTGATTATCAGGAATGTGGACCTTCAGGGATAGGGTTTGTTGCAAGGTCGTAGAAGAGAGCTGTGGGCTTCTGACGAGGGTTGTAATGTCAGGGACGGGGTTATGAGGGGCCTGCAACTTGCACTAGTAAGTAGTACCGTTCCTTATTAGAGTTCTAGTGTAGACAGCCATCTAACTTTTCAGGCTTCTATATGGCGGCATTGATGATATTCAAACCCTAGACGCCAAACCTTAAACCCCAATCCCTAAACCCTAAAGCCTAAACCCAGAATCTCAAACCCCAAACCCCAAACCCTAAACCCTAAACCCTAAACCCTGTAACTTAAACCCTAAACCCTAAACCCCAAACCCTAAACCCCAAACCCCAAAACCTAAACCCTAAACCCTGAACTTTAAACCCTAAACCCTACGCCCTGAACCGTAAACCCTAAACCCTAAACCCTGAACCCTAAAACCTAAACCCTGAACCCTGAACCTTAAACCCTTAAACCTACACCCTGAACCCTGAACCTTAAACCCTAAACCCCAAGCCTTGAGGTGTATCTGGTGCGTCGGATGTTTGGTTCAGGATTTAAGGTTCAGGGTTGAGGTTGCGGTGTTTAGAACTCAAGATGTGGCATCCAAGGATTTCCCCTAGCATCAAAACAGCCCAAAAGCCTTTAAATAAGCGTCTGAGGGCAAGGATTCGAGTTTAGGGCTCATTAGTTAGGCTTCGGGGCTAATCAGGAAAGGCTGAACGCCAAGCAGAGATCTCAATCCCCAAAATCCCTATATACCCTAAACCATACATAGGCCCTGAGCTCTAAACCTTTAAAAACCTTACGTGTACCCTGCAGGCCCTTTTTCCAAAACCCCGAAAGTCCTTGAGGCCTATGTACAGAGCCTGAGTTTGGGAGAACTTTACTTGTAAACGTTTTTGGGGGACCTGTCCCTTAAGGAAACATCATGAAATACAAGCTTATACGTTTGTTTTTCTCCTTGGGGGGGAGGGGGGGGTTGTGAGGGATGTATGTGTGTGTATATATATATATATATATGCATATATGTGTGTACTTGCTTATCTATGTGATTCTCTATATCTACATCTATATCTATATCTATATCTATATCTATATCTGTATCTATATCTATATCTATATCCATATTCATACCCATGTTTATATCGATATCTGTATCTATATCTATATCCGTCTCTACATCTATATCTAAATAAGACACGAAAACAACAGATATGTCTATGTAAGCCTCAGACGTCAAATCGTAGATTCCTAAACCTCGGTGCCTGAAGCAATACCCACATCCTCGGAACGAGCCCTAAACCCTAAACCAACGCTCTCTGAACAAGAAGACCCAGCGAAAGGACAACATTTGCGGACGACACCGCAAGGGGCGTCGCCATGCTTGCCGGCTTTCACAAGCCACGTACGACAAGCTCAAGCAAGCGTCGTCGCTCTTGGCCGATAATCCGGAAAGAAGGCGGGAGATTAACAATGTGTACCGGAAAACAATGGAACTCCAAAATGAAATCAACCGCATCAAGATGGCCGGCATTGGCAGCATGGGCCACCAGAAGCATGTTCACAGGCTTGAGGAACGGCTTGCAAGCATTACGCGGAATTACGAGTCCATGGCTGAGCATCACGCGAAGCGCACTTTCGTTCAAAAGCAGGCCACTGCTGCGAGAGATGCGTTGGACTTCGTCCCCAAGAGAGGGCATCCCTGGGACGACATCGAGGTCCCTGCTAGCATCGATCTTGTCAAGCTGCCCGGACTACAGATCGTACGTGGCACTGCTGACCTTTACCTCCAAACCTATGGAAGCCAAACCAAATAACGAAACCCGTAACATCTAACCCTAAAAACAACCCAAACGCCTCAAGCTCACCCCAAACCCTGAACCCCAAACCCCTAAGCCCTAAAACCCTAAAGCCCTAAACCCTCAAACCCTCAAACCCTAAACCCTAAAACCTTAAACCCTAAACCCCTAAACCCTAAACCCTAAACTTAACCCTGAGGGACCATAAGCCCCTGACTCCTGGCCGGAAAAGCCGCGAGGAAAAAGACTCGCCATCCAAGCTGCCGAAGGCCATGCCATCGAGGTTTTAGAGATGTTTTCGGGCTGTAGGGGTCTAAGTAGGTTAAGGGTTTGGGGTTTAGGGGTTTAGGGTTTTAGGGTTCAGGGTTCAGGGTTTAGGGTTTAGTTAGAAGCGGGTTTTGGGGTATATTATTCTATGGCTACTACAAGAATACTACAAGAACTCCCCAAAACCCTATTCTAATCCAAGCTGCTGAAGGCCATGCCATAGGGGTTTGGGGGGGTTGGGGGTTTAGGTATTTAGGGTTTTAGGGTTGAGGGTTTAGGCTTTAGGCTTTAGAGGTTTAGGGGTTTAGGATTCAGGGTTTTAGGTTTGTAGGTGTTTAGGGCTTTAGAGGTTTAGGATTCAGCGCTTTAGGGATTTAGGTATTTAGGGCTCTAGGGGTGTAGGATTCAGGGTTTTAGGGATTTAGGGTTTAGAGCTTTAGGGTTTTAGGGTTCAGGGTTTTTTAGGATTTAGGGTTTAGAGCTTTAGGGTTAAGGTCTGAGCGTTGGAGGTTTCTGGTTTAGGCTTCAGGGAGTAGTGCTTGGGCCTGAGGTTGGTTTAAGATTTTGATAAGGTTTCTGTAATGGGCTTCAGGGCTTAGGGTTTAGGATTTAGGGTTTAGGGTTTAGGGTTTAGGGGGCTTTGTACAAAGCGTTAACGGGCCGTGGATCTACGGGTTCCGCTCCTCGCACGACTCTTACACATCAAGGATCCTCGTGTTATTGAGGGTTCCTACAGGGTTTTGTAAAGGTCTTAGGTATAGGGTTCGCACATAAACCGACAACAGACACACCTCGGCAATCCAAAAATCTGAAAGTGCCGCCCAAGAACCCTAAAACCCCGAAATCCCCCCAAGCCCCTCAACCCTCAGCACCCTATTTCCCCAAAGCCCTAACCCCGAAATCCTCACACCCCTCAACCCTCAATCCCCAAAAGCTCCTAATTCCTAAACCCGAAACCCTCGATCCCTAAACGCTCCTAAACCCTAAACCCTCAATCCCTAAAAGCTGCTAAACCCTAAACCTTCAATCCCAAAAAGCTCCTTCCTAAACTCTCAATCCCTAAAAGCTCCTACACCCTACACCCCAAACCTCAATCCCTAAAAGCTCCTAAGCCCTGAACCCTAGACCCCTGAACCCCTAAAACCCCAAACCCCTAAACCCTAAACCCCTGAACGGTTAAGGTAGGCTTCCTAAACCGCTGAGGGTCGCGTGCAGGCCTGGGAGCTAGGATTAGGGGGACCCTTAGGGATATAGACCCTCTCAATAAGGTCCCTTCTAAGAGAGCCAAAAGGAGGTACCCTTTAAGGGGTACCCCTAATACCCTAAACCCTAAACCCTAAACCCTAAACCCTAGACCCTAGACCCTAAACCCTAAACCCTAAGGCCTGCCTCCGCAAGAGCGGTCAGAGTGGTCTTCCCAGCATGGTGACGCCGAGCCGGGGCTCTCGGACTGGGGGGCCTTGTCAAGGAGCCCTGTCAGGATTCCTTTGGGGTTTAGGGTTAGGGTTTAGGGTTTAGGGATTAGGGTTTAGGGTTTAGGGTTTAGGGTTTAGGGTTTAGGGTTAGGGTTTAGGGTTTAGGGTTGTTTGATAGGCGTAGGGATTCTAGATAAAGCT